AAAAAAAAAAAAAAAAAAAAAAAAAAAAAAAAAAAAAGGATGAAGAGTTGAGAACTTTCTCTCCAGTGCTGCTCATTTGTTTAATCATGTCTTTATTCAGTTTGCATCCCAAGATTCTGTTTGTTGGGGAATAGACGAGAAACAGTAATGATTAAGCTCTATTCCTGTATTCAGAGAGCTTCTATTCTAATAAGAGATTGATCCTGTTGTCTCTTGTATCAGACAACCTCCCCCCCAAAAAAACTGGTATAAATAACTTAGGGATTTTTTTTCTCATATAGTTTGTTTTCTCATATATTTTAGGGTGGTTTGAGACACATTAGATAGTTATTTTTAAAACCTTAAAAATCGAATACTCTTGGTTATAGTGTTTTAAGGGAAGAGAGGAAGAAATTAGCTAGAGGTAGTCTTGCACTCCCTGGCCACAATTCTTTCTCCAGCCCCAGCATAAACTCTCAATAATCACCAGCGCACCATGAGAGGAGCCGTTCTAGAACCATCTATGTGATTGGTTTCTCCAAGAGAATTCTCATCCTGATTAAACACATGAGCAGGATTGTTGCCTTCTCGCAGAGTGGAGCTACCACCACGGACACTTCCACCCAGAGTATAGCAGCTCTAGAATTATAAGGGCTTCTAGCAAGAAGCTGATACAAAGAAGAAGAAAAGGGAAAGAACTTAAAATTGTAAAACTTTTTAAAGTGTTTAAAACTATGTGTGTGTATATATATTTACATACAGTTAGCCAGCTCTGGTGGTCTAGTGGCTAAGATGCATAGCTCTCACCACTGAGGCCTGGGTTCATTTCCTGGTCAGGGAACCACACCACCCTGTTGGTTGTCATACTGTGGCAGCTGCATGTTGCTCTGATGCTGAAAGCTATGCCACTGATAGTTCAAACACCAGCAGAGTCGCCCATGATGGACAGGTTTCAGTGGAGCTTCCAGATTAAGACAGACTAGGAAGAAGGACCTGGTGAAAATATTGGCCACAAAAACCCTACCCTGCTCTGCTGTACACAGGGTTACTAGGAGTCAGAATCAACTGAGGGCACTAACAACAACAAACGTATGTGTAGATGAAGACACACACACACTCACACACACACACTTTTTCCTATGGGCCAGTTATATCCTTCATAGCCCTTTATCCTTACACATTTCAGTGTGTATTTCCTAAGAAGGAGACTGTTCTCTTATATAAGAAAAAAAGAACTTAATTTAAAGGTGAAAAAGAAGCTGTACAGTGACTTGTCCGGTGAGTCTTTGGATGTTGCTGATTAACAGGTGTTGGGGAGGCCCCAGCATGAGCAGAGAGACAACCATGGGTGTTGAAGTGAGAACAGTCTGTACTTAACTGCCTCTTTTCTTGCATAGTATTGTCAGGGAGACTTGATTTTTAAAGCATTAAAACCAATGTTCTAATGAATTCTGAAACACCATAGTTTTATTTTATCTTTGGTTTTAGCTTCTGTAGAGGATTTTTGTGTTTCCTTAATCTTTCTTTTCTGTGTACAGCTGGGGCGGAGTAGCTTTCCAAATGCTGTGGGGACTGCAAGGAGTCTTTGAAATCCTTGCTGGCAAGTCTTTTTGCCCCCAGGGACTT